AAATCTTTATACTCTTGATGGAGAAAATCGCGTCCTGGAATTACAGTGCTCTGAGAAAAAAAAAAAAAAAAAGACTTTAACTGGGTGTAACAAGTAAAAAATAAAAAGTTAAACAGAAAATAAAAAACCTGTTTGCTGGCTATTGCACCAATCTGACTTCCTCTAGGGCGACTATGGAAGTAATGTTCAGATTCTTCTTCAGAAACCTTCTGCACAGAACCTTCTATTCGCACCTGAAAAACAAAGAATTCCATCATTTTTCTTTTTAAGCATCATTTATCCAGATATTTTAAATAAAAGAAACTGGCTTTAAATTGCTTATCATATTAAGCTGACCTGGCGATTCAATCCATCCCAATAGAATAGAAGTGATGCATTAGCATTCTCAGATAAATCCTTGGCTTTTCGGCTTCCATAATTCGTGTACCTAAATAATAAACATTACAATGGACATGATTTTTTTTTTTTTTTTTTAAAAAAAAATGTACATTGGTGTAATAATATTGTTAATGCTTGTATTACAACAGATTAATATCACTAACCATACAAAACCGTCTTTATCAAATCCTTTCAGCAACACCATTCGTGATGAACTGCATCCATCACAAAACCAATGTCAGTGTCCATTAACATTCAAATTCATTTTGTGTTTACTGAAGGGTATTTGACAAATACTATGTCCAAAGTCAAGCATCTCATTTTCATTAGATATTTAGAAGCAGATACTTACGGTTTGCCATCTTTGCCAGCAGTGCACAATGCCATTGCATTAGGTTCCTTCAAACCAGCAGCCATTACATCATCAAACCACTTCTGGAACTGTGGATATTAATTATTAACATTAAAATTAGTTTTCCACTGTTTTATAAGTCTGTTCATTGTGTGAAAACATTGATAAAATACATTCAATAACACTACTTCAAAGATATCAAAATTAATTATGCAGTGGTTGTACCTGAAGAAAGGGGTCGGGGTCCACCTCCTCTTCTCTAAACTCAGGAGAAATATAATTTTCTCTCATTGATGATATGTCAATTTGTGGGGCCTTTCCAATTCTAACACACATACAACTTCCAGGATATGATGGAAGATGAAGGTTAAACTTGTCAACAATGGAAGGTGGAACAAACCTCCCACCTAAGAAATGATGGGAACCACAAAACTTCTTGGCACACAGCTTAGGGGCAGTTAAAGAAACCTGAAATATATATATATATATATATATATATATATATATATATATATATATATATATATTATAATTTTCAGTTTTCAAAAAATGTTTAACTTTTTGTATTCACTAAAAAAAATGCATGCTGTATATGAATGAGAACATACCAACATGTCAGGTTTGATTCCATCACCATTTGTATCCCCTTCTTCCACATGCCATCCAGATGGGATGTCTATAGAGGCAATCACAGATGGTTTTTTATTTATTTCATTGTAATTTTGTAGATTCACCAACCGTTGAATCAGATCATCAAATGGTGCCCTTGGTGTCCCTGAAAAAGATGATAGAAAAATACACAAAACGGGTTAAATGCAAAATATAGCAATGTGATTTCATTTATTTGTGTATTATAACATGCTGCATCTAGTTTCATTTCTTATCATTACAGCATTGTTCTTTGAAAAGCCAATAATGAAGTAAAGATTGGGGTACAAGAAGATGATTTACCATGGAATGAAAAGCCAAACATGGCATCGACTAGAATGTTGAAGTCCTCTGATAAGTTCATAGGAAGATCATCCACTGATAGGAAAGGAATACCCAATGATTCTAGCTGGAAAGATACCAAATAACCATTTAGACAAAATAGATCAATACACCTTTCTAGAAAGTTCGAGTTTCAACTCTACCTGAGTCACCAGACCTGTATAAAGAGGCTTTGCAGTTCGTTTTGGATAACAAACAAACGGTTTATATCCAAAGTGATACAAATGACGAGCAACTACAAGACCATCCCCACCATTGTTCCCTGGGCCACATATTGTCAATACACGATTGTAATCCTTAAGATTGTATACCTGTTAGAAAGATAATCAATAAGATGTTCTTGATTTAACAAACTGAGCCAAAGGCTCTTATGTGATAACACCATAACTCACCTCGGCGATTGCTGTAGCAACGCTCAAACCAGCCAATTCCTGCAAATATGATATATCAACAAAAACATAACAGAAATAGTTCTCACTGGTAAGCCATATTTAGGGCCACCCTCTAACAGTCTCTTTGCAATTGTACAGAAGAAAGTGGACACAAAGAGCCATTGTGACGAGGGGTTGCCCTTATTTCGTTAAACATATTATGTTGTAACATAACGAAAATTTGGATCCCGGATAGTAAATGCACTCTAAAACCACTAACCATGAGCTGGTCGACGCTAAATCCAAGAGGACCCATAAGAATCTCATCAACTTCAGCAGCTTCTCGTTGATTCAAATACGAAATTGAGTCGGGATTTTGAACCACTTTGATGTTGCTAGCCATAAATTCTCCTCTATTCACTCTCGAAGAGCAATAACCGCGCAACTTGTACCTCAAAATCGAACCAAAAAAACCCTAAATCACTAATTCAATGTCATACAAATTACAGAAATTGCCCAACGATGAAACGGCGTCGATACGGATTATTATAAAGTGAAAAGGGTATATAGACAGGGTTTTGTTTACCTGAGGAGATCGATGAAGAAGGGAAGATACGGGTCGAGTAGAAGTAGAAGCGGAAGTTGGAGGGAGTGCAAGTAAATGGGTGATGAAAGAAGAAGAGTACGTCAATATCATGGTCTTGGTTTTGCCTAACAATGGCAGCATTTTTTAACGGTGGAAAGTTCCTATGGTTTCTTGCATAGAGAGATATGGCGTGGGCTTTTTGTTCATGAATTTTGGTATATGGTTAACGACTTGTATTGTAGGATAAGGTTGTTTTGGTCCAACATAGTGCCCGTTTTAAAAGGGTTGCTAAGATTTTTTTTTTTAAATAAAATAAAATAAAATTCTATAATATAAGTGCTTAAACTTGATAAATCACGATCTTCCTGGATAAATTGATCCAGATCTTGTGTGAATTGTATTTTGGTATTTGGGACGAGAAGATCGTGAGATCGCATACGATCCGATCCCATAACCCTAGACCAAATTGGTGTTTGATAACCCGAGCATGAAGGCCACGAAGATTACACAAGTCTGCATGCTCGCAAAGACCATAACCACTATAGGTTCTTTCCTATTTTAACCTCTTTGTATGTTGTAAAAGAAATTCAAAAGATAATATAAGTGAATTAATTCAAAAAAAAAAAAAAAAAAACAAAGACTTTCATCTTTCTCTCTTTCTGTATGTTGTAAACGTATTTAATATGAAGAATTTTTTTTTAGAAATTACTGATCCAACTTTTAAATCTTATGTTGCTCCATGTTTCAATTCCCCTCTCGTTCACTGAGTTCTTGGTTACAAACAACATAATACCCAAGCGTAAAGTAGTAAGATTGTATAAGCATCGTTCTTATTGGAAAATCACTAATATCAGTTTTAATTTCATACCATAGGTTAATCCTAAGAGGGCACTAACTTGTAGATTACTTGATTAATAATTATTTTGAATCACCGAATTACATAACCACTACTCATTGTTCTGAATCACATAGTAATAGTTATACTAAAATGGTGTTTGAAATTCATTTAAAAACAATTTATTGATTTTTTTGAAAAGTTAATAAGTTAAAAAAAAAATTACAATATGAAAATGACTTTTAAAATAACTTCGCATACCTTTCAAGATTTCAATAAGTTCAAATTTTTAAGTGTTTATAATTTTTTATAACTTTTTGGGTTGTAAGAGACAAACACCTCTTAATATATATATATATATATATATATATATATATATATATATATATATATATATATATATATAAGCTAAGGCAAACATTTTAAAAAAACAACCTATTGATTTGTTGATTTTTCTTATCACAAAAACTAATACAAATATTTTTTTTTAAATCTTATTTTTTATCACTATAAATCAATAAATCATTTTGCATAAAAGTTCTTATGAAATTCAAAATGAAATCTCATAGACCTCTCAACATAAGTGTAAATAGTCCTTTTCTTTTTACAAACATTAAACTAACCCTTATTACCTTATAAATTGACCTTTTTATAAAAATAGTCATTTTATATTTTTTTTTAAAAATAATTTCTAATTTTTTCCAAAGAAATCTCTCAATATATGTCTGAAATATTTATTTCAAATCATTTAAATGTCACCGTTTTCCTATCAGATATATGAATTTATGAATTTAAGCTCTTATATCGTAAATACTTATCAATTATCGCGTTTGTATAACTTTTTATTGGATTTAAAGGGAAAAACAAAGTTTTTTCTTTCGAAATTCTAGTATAATTCATCCGATTTTTATTTATTTTCTAATTCCAAAGTTATCTTTTTATTATAATTTCCTAGTTGTTGTTATTATTATTATTATTATTATTATTATTATTATTATTATTATTATTATTATTATTATTTTTGAAATTCTAAGAATATATGTCATGGTTGTTAAAATCGCAATCCTGATCGTAAGATTGTACGATTCCTATAATCTCATTTACATAAATCGGTTTCAATCTTACTTGGATCGTTTTTCGGTAGGATTTAATCATAAGATTGTAGGATTGATAATATATTTTTTTTAAATTCAACTATTTTTTTACTCACTACACAGAATACCCATTTTAAATTATTTATCATTAAATAACATATTATTTTTTATGATTTAAAATATTTATTTTTAACTAAATGGTTAACTGATGGATGAATATGTGTTTTTATGTTTTAAAATGTTTTTTTGTATCTGATTCAATTTTACGATCACAATATTATAAAACGGAAAAAAATCATATATAAAATCTCAATCTTAACAACCTTGATATATCTTATTTCAAAATTATTGTTTATTAAAAATAATAATGTACATGTACTCTTTTGTCTAAAGAATGGTAATTTTAGTTCATTTCCCATAGTTAAACACAGGGAGATTACAGGATGTTCGGATAAATAGTTTTTAGCTTATTAGTATTTTTTTTTAAATGTTTGACAAAAAAAAAACAGTTTATATGTAAGTAAAATGACAAATAAGCAACAAACATTCCCAAAAATCAGCTTATTCGAGTTACGCACTAAAAAACTGATTTTCAAACACTCTAATCCATACACACATAAATTTGATTATTGCCGAGGAATTAATAAAGAAGCACCTTTTTTTTTTTTTTTCCCTGAACACCCCCTGCGAGTATTACACAACATATCGTTTTCTTTTTGAAAATGCTTTCAGACTTTGGTTTGCTGTAGGATTCCTCTTTTCGTGGTCGTTCTTTCTCGTCGATCGTCGGTCATCTACTGCTTCAGGTACTGCGAAACCCTAGTTCTATTATGTTGATCCGATTTTCTAAAATTTGTCTTATTACTGGTTTATTGATGTGATTCTTGTCGTATGGATAAATCATTGATTATGATTATGACTTACTATCCGACATCAAAGAGGGAGCTAGGAAGATGATCAATGATAATTCCTTAACTTCAGATTTCATATTATCATTAAATCATAGTTTTTCCCGATTGCAATTTGGTATCGATTTTCTAGATCCAAATTCAGTTTTTTTTGGGTTTTCTGGAGATTGAATCGTGATTTTCATATTCGTAAAGTAATCTATGATAAAGTGAAGGAGATAATGTTTGTCAATTCACATTTTCTTCCAAGCAATTATATAATAAGGTGATAGTAAATGTTGGTCTTTGTATAGATTCATGAATAACTGTTGGCTTTCCACAAGATTTGGTGGTGAATTTGGGAGCCTATGAACTGGTAATTCGCCAAATGACCAGTTGCAATTCTTCTGATTCATTTTATGTAGTTGCCATTGAGCAGTGTGCATTACTGTTGTGGCTGGATTACAGTAGAAACTGTGAATAGAACTAGCCAGATTTGGCCGAAAAAATCCATCAAACTGGTTTAGGAATGTTCCATACATGTTGGCAGACATCTTTTCTCTTCTTTGTTTTGCAAAAGATTGCAGATTTAATCATCGAATCTCAGATAGATGAGAACTGACTTTTAGGCTTCAAAACTGACACGAATATTCCCAATTATAAGAAAAGTAAATACGTACATTAAACATAGAATAAGTGGGAGAATTGAGAATGTTTTGAGTTTTCACATAACAAAACTGAATATATGTTTTTTCTGTTTACTTAGTAAGGTACAGAATTTGAATTTTAGAAACTAAAAGTGTATACTATTTAGGAATTAAGACATGGGAAATAGTATCTAAAATCATTGCATGTTTGCCTACATGATTATGCCAGAAAAGAACATCTGTTGTGCATTTTCTTCAGTGCTGTGTATTTCTTGGTGTTATCATACTTCAAGACTTGAAGTTTCATCCCTTATACATGATCTTTATGTTTATAATATGCATTTGCAAGATAATCTGCCAGTGATTGATTGTAAAACTATCATGTACCTTATAAAAGAAAAATAGTGACTTGATTGTAGCGAACTTGAAAATCTTTCTATAAATAAAAAATTTCACATAACATGTAGTTCTATTTCTATATATCTGTGATGTTGAACTACTAAAAAGGCTATATATTTTTTCTTGATGTTCCAAGAAAGACGATACAATTCTAAAATAATGATTCTCTGGTTGATGAACAATTTATAATCTTTCTCCAGAGTTTGTACATCATTGTATTGAAATCCGATCAATCTCATTTATTTTTATCCCCCTCAAAAAAAAAAAAAAAAGCAAAGTAGGTTGTTAATACAAGACAGAAAGAAGATGTTGCTGGCTGTGCTGATCGCCAACTCTGAGGGCAATATCCTCGTTGAACGGTACCTTCAAACCCTTTCTCTCCCAAACCACCATTTCATTATTCATATGCTCTCTAAGGGGCTTTTTGGTGTTTATGAAAGGAAACTCCTTCCAATATAAATTGCAAAATCTAGTACTATTTTGATCCATTTATATTTTTATACAAACTTCACATATGATTATGAATGCGTTGCAGATTCAACGGTGTTCCGGGTGAAGAACGGTTGCATTGGCGGTCCTTCTTGGTCAAACTTGGAGCAGACAACCTTAAAGGTGTCAAAAATGAAGAACTTCTTGTCGCATGCCACAAGTAAGTCAGTAGGGGATTCATTCATTCTGTATCCTACATGTCATGTGTTAAATTCTCATGCATTCTACATGCATTAAGTCAAAAAGAAAAACACCTAAGCCTAAAAGTAGTATGTATGTTTTGGCATTGGCTTTTCAGGTCTGTATATATTGTCTACACAGTGCTTGGACACGTCAGCATCTATCTTGTTGGCAAGGATGAGTATGATGAACTCGCTTGTAAGCATACAAATTAATTTCTTTTACATAAACTTTTACTCGAGCCTCTTATTACTTCTTAGATTTTGAAGCTGTTAATGTTGGATTTTTTTTTGGAAGTGTCAGAAGCAATATTTGTTGTTACATCAGCCATAAAGGATGTATGTGGGAAGCCTCCAACAGAGCGCCTTTTCCTGGACAAGTATGGTAGGATTTGCTTATGCCTTGATGAAATTGTATGGAAGGTACCCTCCCCTCCCATCCTTTTTTACTCTATATATATTGGTTTTAAAAAGATATAAAAAATTTTGTGTACAATAAACTAAAATACATTTACTTTGTTTATTGATTATACTGATGTTATGGATTTGTTATAAAGGGGTTGCTGGAGAACACGGACAAAGATAGAATCAAAAGGCTGATAAGGTTGAAGCCTCCGACTGAGTTTTGATGGAACTTGTTGATTGGTGATTGGTGGGTGGCTGTTATGGAGTTTTGTTTGTTATGATGTTACATTTCGTAGTTGTTGTCGTCTTCTTTTGCTTCTGAATTCTAATGTTGCTTCTTTACCATATATTCTTCTCATTTACGCATCATCATATATTATATATGGATTTCAAATGGGATTATCCTAGGTAACAACATACTTCATTTCCGCTACTAACATAGTCTCTGTACATAATTTTCTACCCATAAATGATAAATATAACAACTTAATTTACTCCCAAAGTTGTAAAATGTTTACAAATATTACTTTACACCAAGGAATTGCGAGGAAAAAGAAGTTTGAATATGACTAAATAACCATTTTATCTTTACATACTAAAGGCAAATGTCACGGTATTTATTAGTTTTAACAGTATATTATGTCATATTCTAGGGGGACAACTATACTCGGTTACATATATATAGAATAACATCCAACATTTTTACAACTCGTATGCTGATGTTTGCTATAGAATTTTCAATAAATAATTATTCAAATCTATCGTTATATAATAAATAAGCATCATATCATATCATATGGTTTCACAAGTTATATATTAGTGACAACCATACCATTATCATCACAAATTTATGCAGCAATTGTTGATTCTTCATCCGAAGGTGTGACTACATCATCTTCCTTGTTAGAAACAATCTTTTCAACTCTATCAATAAATTTCAACATTTTCTCCAACCCTTCTTCATCTGAAATTATATGAGAGAGAGAGAGAGAGAGAGAGAGAGAGAGAGAGAGAGAGATCAAACAAATATGTGTTTTAAAAAATAATTATGTGATATTAAATTATTAAAAAAAAATAAGAATAATAAATAGTAAAAGATTTACCGAATCTTGGAATGGTATGGCCTTTAGGATGATGAATCACTATGGGATCTTCAACTGATTTTAAAAGTTCAAGTCCATATGGTTTTAAAAAATCCGCTTCCCCTGACATAAAATAATAATACTATAAAGATACTCCAAATCATATTTTTTCTAAAAAGAAAAGGTTTTTCTAGTTGATGTGGATGTCCAATGTTTTATAATGAGTGTTTTTCAAAAAAAAAAATGCAAAAATGCAATAATAATGAGGGACTAACATGTGGAAAATATGCATCATCATTTATTATGTCATTATTGGGTTTGGTAAGTTTTGTGGACAAGAAGAGTTGTCTACATGTTGAAATAGCGTCCATATATTTTAAAAGATTCCAAAGATTCTAATGCAATTTTGAATATTCAAATAAAACCTACAAACATCTTATAGGTAATCATATTTCCCTACAACAAAAAATATTATTTCCATTAATAACTTTACATGTTAAATTTAAAATATTATTCAAAATAAACGCTTTATCATTTGATGTTAATAATGTTATTATGCATCGGACGTTTATTCTTAAATAAAATGGACATAGCTAAAAAAAAAAAAAGATTTAATGTATTAATACATCAACTCTTAACCTATTTACCTATTTGTCTTTATGTATATAACATTTTATTTAAACATACATCATTATCTATTCTACCACATAACCCTAACTTATGAGAAAATAACAGCCCCTAGACCAAGAATCAAGTCAAAAACTGAATTTGAAAAATTTTAAAACCAAAAACCAATCATAATATAACAAAATAGCATCACAAATCTAATATGCCTTGTCACCAAAAACCAAACACATGGAAAGAGGCCAAAAAGAGTACCTAAAAAATGGAGAGAAGGACATTGTATGGGGATCGAATATGCCTTGTCAGCCCATGTTTGATTTTTCAATTTTGCCCCTGAGACTATTATCACAAATCTAATCTTTGGTACCCTCGTCAATGCCAATCCCTGATGTATATTTATTTAATTTAAAAACCACCAAATTGTCAGTAATATATAATTACATTTGATACCAAATCCTCAGAAATATATAATTATATTTGATGTCTGATTTTGATTAAGTGAACCTGCTGAGGAAATTACATAGACAACAACATTACTTAATGTTAATTTCCAATAAGGAATGTTAGTTGTCATTATTGTTACAAACTTGATCCTACGACTTCATTAAATCTTTAACAACTAAATTAACAATTGCAACAAACAAACAATATGTGCATTAACGTTTGTACGTTATGCATTGGTCATGGTTCTTAGCAAAAGTGTTGGTTATGGAGAAAAGAACATGCCTTAGCTTGCAGTCCTGGCAAGGCAGCTGACAAAATTGCACCCTAAATAAATACACAGAACAGAATCAATTCGATTTACAATCATCAAATTGTATTTGGAAAAAAAAAAAAAAAAAAATTTATATAGATCAACATGAAAACCTGCGAGAATCCCATCAAACCATCGATCTCATGCTTAATCATTAAATCTTCGATATGTTCAAGACACTTATCGAAATTCTCATACTCCGTAAAATCCTGTAGTTGTTTCAGAATAAAAATCAAAATCCCTAAAATTGGTTGGAAATAGAACTATTGCGAATAGATATGAGATAATCCAACCTTATTGAATTGGAACCATTCGTAATAAGGCGGGTCAAAAATCCCTTCGACCTCAGATTTACCATTACATGGAAACGGCGCATCAGGGAAGAAGAACTGGACCTTTTCATGAACCGATTCCGGCCATTTCTTCAGTTGAGTTTTGAAGATTTCTCCGCTTGTTCGGAATCCATGGAGGCAAAGGATCCTTGGTTTTCGCTTCACAAACAGATCAGCACCTTCACTTCCCATGGTTTTCTCGAGCACAGCTCGATTGCTTCTGAGGTTGTGAATGGTTCCTGTGAGATTGGAGCATATATAAGGAGGATTCTGGAGGTTATAAATGGAGCTTAAAGTGGCGTGTTGAAGTTTGACTCGAGATTTGTTAATCACGAGGGGGGTGACGTTGGAAATTGGGGGCACTATCAGGTGCATTGTTTCATTGAGTTTGTGCTTTGACTTTGGTCAAATATATATATATATATATATATATATATATATATATATATATATATATATATATATATATATATATATATATATATATATATATATATATAAGATAACATTTTTTTTTTCTTTATTCATAAACTTTTTTTCAATTCGTTTTCAAATTGTACATAACATGCTTAAATGGATCGTTCTATTCCTTCATGCCAATCTAAATATGATAATGGCTTAGTCCATTACCTTTTATTATTCATTTCATTTTCCATTTCTTTTTAATTTTATTTTATCATATCAAAAAAACTATTTTATATTCTTATATGTATTTGAAATAATATTTACGAACACCTTCCATTTGTGTTGGTGCTAAAATTTAGATTTAGATTTTATTTTCAAAAGTTCACTTGGACCGTTCTTTATTTTGTGAAAAAGGTGCACACTTCGTCCCTACAAACATAAAACGACTATATTGCATTTTTTTTTATGCCATTTTCATTTAATTTTCACTTTATTATTATTTCTTTTATTCTTTTAAATGTAATATATCGCCCAAAGAGTACTCAAATAACTCTTTCTCTCATATTTATTTATCTTTCAAGAACTTTCGAACAACCTTGGACATCTCATATAACCGCCACCGGAGACCATCGTCCACTACTGTTGAACTATCCACTGTCGACCACCACCGAAAACCACCGCTTCTCTCTCTCTCTCTCTCTCTCTCTCTCTATATATATATATATATATATATATATATATATATATATATATATATATATATAATTTGTCACCTCTTTCTTCCATATCTTCTTTCTCAACCCCTACACCACCACATATCACTGCCGACACTTCTTGAAACTTATAATCAACATCCAATAGAGCTCGATCGGAAATCTCCAATAAAGTCCTAAAATTTTGGCCCGATTTATGTTTTAGTCATAAATTAATTTTTGTTTACGAAAAAATCCTAAAAACCGGTAAAAGTTTGTATTTTGACCCTTTTTGACTGGTTGGAACCGGTAACAAATTATTTGTGAATATTTCATAAATTGATCGAAAATATTTGGACTTTTCTGCAAAAACAAAAAATATTAGGTTTTTTCTGCAAACAAAAACCTTATTATTATTATTATTATTATTATTATTGTTGTTGTTGTTGTTGTTATATTAAAAATATATAAGTATATTATTTTTTAAATTTTTTATTATTAATGTTGTTAATAATACATATAAATACATTTAAATAAAAAATATTAAAGACATTTTATAAAGGTGAAGGTTGAGCGGATAATAATGCTTTAAGCATTAAAATCATGAATGTGTTTTTGTATATTCTAACTTTGTATATGGTCATTTCACATTTTATTATTGTTTTAAATTCAAAATATTAACATTTAACAATTTAAAAGAAGCCACTGATTTTTCAAATTGTTTACAAATAGTGAGGGTGTGATATGCATGTATGTCTTGTATGTAAGTATTTAAATTACCAACATGTGTGTTGCTCTTTTTCATTACTTTGTACTTGTGGTTTTTTGGAAACATAGTAGATATAGTGTAATAAAGCAAAACAAGATATATTACTTTCTATTAAACAATATATTGTAATTAATATTTTCGAATTTTGATATGGAGCACCAATATAAATATTTATTGTAGATCTGTTGGGTTTGAAAAGAAACCATTCTACTTAAGAAATTTTATATACAAAATGAGAAATTTTTTTATCTTAAACTATTTATACACAATTCTACCTTAGATATGGGTAATCACCACCACCATCACCTTTAAATAATTTCTTTAATATTTTTTTTATTTAAGTGTATTTATATATATTATTAAAAATATTAATAATAATGAATTCAAAAATTAGTATATTTTTTTATATTTTTAGTATAATAATAATAATAATAATAATAATAATAATAATACTAATACTAATAATAATAATAATAATAATAATAATAATAATAATAATAATAATAATAATAATGTTTTTGTTTGTTGAAAAGTCCTAATATTTTTTTTGCAGAAAAGTCCCAATACTTTAGATCATTTTGTGAAATAGTCTCAATATTTTGTGTCAGTTTATGAAATAGTCACAAATTAATTTGTTGCCGGTTCCAACCGTTCAAAAAGGGTCAAAATGCATATTTTTGCCGGTTTTTAAGATTTTTTCGTAAACAAAAATTAGTTTAGGACTAAAACGTAAACCGGACCTAAATTTTAGGACTTTATTGGAGATTTCCCTATATATATATATATATATATATATATATATATATATATATATATATATATATATATATATATATAATTTGTCACCTCTTTCTTCCATATCTTCTTTCTCAACGCCTACACCACCACATATCACTGCCAACACTTCTTGAAACTTATAATCAACATCCAATAGAGCTCGATCTGAAACCTCATATGGTGGTTCCAAGCCCCAAGCAACGACAATTTTAGATCTGAAGCGACGATGGCTTTCATGATCAGGCAAATGGAGTAGCTCCCGACGGTGGCTTTCGTGATTCATGGCCCTTTGACAATGCGGTTGACGATTTTAAATTCATGGCTTTCACGATTCAATCTCCCGCCTCCTAGCAATCTCCTGTAACTCGACAAGTGTATCATAACGTCGAGTAGACACAAACTGGCGGATGTCCTTCTTGAGCATGCTCAAGTACCGGGTCATCTGAGCTTGCTCAGAAGTAGAAAACTCAAGACAAAAACAATGTTCTCTCGGTAAACATCTTGGTGATCTCCTTCACTAACTCAGTCCCCTGCCTCAAGTTCAAATACTTTTGGGCCAATCTCTCCTTGTAACGCTTGATTTCCGGTACAAACTATTTCCAATATGTTTATGCTTTCCCTTTGGGACACGGCGTGTTGGAGCCTCAACATGGCGTGTCGAGATGTCCTTGGTCATGGATTTTGTTGAGCCCACATGACATGTTGAGGTGCCTCAACACGACGTGTTGGCAGCTGGGAAGGAAACCCTGATTTTTAGGGTGTTGCACCATATTTAAAGGCCTTAAGTACCATGTTTTTTTCTCCAAACCGTGTACCATACCAATTATAATTGGCATAAAGTTTTACCTACCAATACCGTACCAATGATACTTGGTACCAACTTAGTTGGTTACCAACAAATTTGGTTGGTAGATATTGGTATTGGTATATACCAAAATATTTAACTAATATCTATACTTGAAGAGTTTAAGACTATAGTCTGTATAAGACTTCACATTATAATCATCACTGAATGGTTAGAAAGTTTTCCAAATATAAACATGAGTTGAAGTTGTGGTCGTCGCTTGTTTTAGTAAATCCTTTTAGTGTCATGTACCTTCCTTAACATTGTGTTAGTAATTTCTTTTACTATAATGTTTCGTTCAAAAAAGAATCAATATCAATTGAATTATATTAGTAACTCCGACTATTACTTTTTAGTTGTTACTCCCAACTAAAACTTGAAATACATTCTCAACAACAAGTCATAAATACAAAATACAAGATCCACAACTACCGACGAAACGGAAAGACAAATACATTCTCAACAACAAGTATCGTTACAAAACGAATTGATTCGGTCTCGAATCAATAACAAAACAAAATCATAAAACCAAAGCATTTCAATAAACACGCGATAATTATGATGAGTCAACTTACAAACTTTGGTCTTGGAAGTTTCAAATTATGCTTATTGGGTCTTGCTAGTCCAATAACATGATCTTTGGGCCCGAAGGGAATACGCTTACGTGTTATTGGGCCTCCTATGACCCAATTCCATGTAAAAGGACTTTCAATAACTCTAATGTGCTATTGGGCCCTAGTGGCCCATTAGTACTGCTAGTAAGGTCGAGAAGTCAAATGCGAGTTGGGCCAACTGTCTTTCGCATTCCCGATAGCCTTGAATAACTCATGGAAATAAAGGGGGCTTCGTACCCTCATTTCTCCTCGGTTGTTGGGCTCATGAGAAATCAAAGTAAACAGATTCAGGACGATAAACAATAGTAATCAGGGTGGGTGGATTAAGTGAGTAGTAACGGCCGACGCCTTTAAGTATCGTTCATAAATTGTAGTTATAAACTAGTTATTTTCCAAATGCGTGATTATAACAACTCACAAACCCTAATTAATCTGACGCCACCCGGGTAATAAAAAACATTCGACATATTGGTATAACAATAAACAAGCCATGTATTTTACGTATTGGGAAAACATCGGGTTTTCCTGGGAAGTTCAACATTTTCACTTGTGTGATGAATACAAAGTTCAACAATTATACATGTTTTGAAAATCAACAAGCATATTTACGGATCTTCACACTTTTTATAAACAAATACTCTTTTCAAAAAATATTGGATTTTCTGGGTTTACGAACTACACCAAATCATTTTACCACAACATTACTTATGAACTCACCAACATTTCATATGTTGACCGTTTTTCAAAATAACTTGTATTCTCGGGTAACAGGTAAGCCGAAGGATAAGTAACAAGTAATGTCATGGTGTTTTGCTTAGGTTATCTGTCAGACAGTTATGTTATGAAATTGTAATGTCTAAAACAATGTACGGAATGTAAATAATATAAGTTGTAATATTTTAATGCATGGTGATGTATTATGTTATAATTCATGTATATATTCATTGTGATGGTATTCAATTTAAGTCACAAGAGCCCTTGGATGTTTTCGCCGTCTGGTTCGGGGGTGTGACAAACAATTTAAAAGTAGTTTGTTTGATAAAACGGTTTGAAAGTATAATAAATCCATATGTTTGATAGTTATTAATCAAATGTGATTGATATAATAACTATGATGTTCAACTTGTATCCCGCCCCCCATAAAAGCATTTAAAAGCATGCAAAAATATTTAAAAGGTTGGTTAAGGGGTATGAACTCACCTGAAATGAGTGATGCGATAGTAGGATTGGTAAAGCATGCTAAGTGTCAAGTGAGAACTTGAGCACACACAGATCCTATTTAACATATAAAGACACATATATGCTTACAATTAGTGTTTATAACAACTAATTAGGTAATGGAACAACCTTAAGGCCTAGTAAACACTTGTACTGAATTGTTAAACCACATAGGGTTGCACATAAGGGGTGTAGGGCCTCACTTGGGAGTTAATGGCCCATATGGTATGAACCACATGAGTTTATGGCCCAAAGACCATTTTCTCATGAGTTTACGACCGTAAACTCATGGTACTAAGTGTCAAGTTGTGATTTAAGGTCTTTTACGCCAATATGAAGTGCTCTATGCTTAAGTCCAAGCCCTAGGAGGGAATGGTGGCACCAATGCACCACTAACTAGTGTTCACGGCCTAAGGACCATTTCCTCATGAGTTTAAGGCCGTAAACTCAAGGTATTTTGTACCAAATCAAAGTTTAAGGTCCTTGGCTTATGATAGAAGTGTTCTAGACGTAATCCTAAGGCTTGAGATGAGATTAGGGCTCATTTGGACCCTTAAATAGAGTTTACGGCCCAAGAAGGTTCCTTGGCCATAAAAATCCCTTTTGATCATGATTTCTTGATGATTTCTAAGTGTAATCTAGTTGATTTAATCATATAACAAGCTAGGACAAGGGTACTTACAGTGTAGAAGCTTGAAAGGGTGCTTAAGGCTCAAGAACACTAGTGTGTGTTCTTGAAGAACACTTGATTATCTATCAAATGAAGAGATTTCATGGACGAAATCATTCACAAACACTAGATAATGAAGTTTACTAAAAAATCAAGGAAGAAAATACTTACTAAGTTGAAGATCTAGTGATGATACTTGAGAGATAATGGGGTTAAGGACTTGAAAATGGTTGAAAATGACAAAAATGGCTAAGTGCCACTTATATAGTCCTTAGGGTTTACGGCCCCAATACCAATTGGGCCGTAAACTCCATTTTATCGGAGTTTTGGAACTTAAATGTTGCACACTTTACCCTAAAGTATCCTCTCTCCAATTATCTTTTGTAGTACTAGGCTTAAAACACTCAAACTGACTCCAAAACTGCTACAATTTAGCAATTGAAAGTTTGACTTTGATTGAATGCAGGGATTGTTATAAGATAAAAATTTCGAGTTGTCACATTTTCAAAATTGTTCGTATTTACCCTTAAGTTTTAAAAAATATTCGAATTTACCTTTACTTTGATTGTTGTTGTTGTTGTTGTTGTTGTTGTTATATATGTTTAATACGTTTTGAAATGTATAAAAATATTTTTATAGATTTAAAAATATATTTACTTCATTTTAGTATTTGTATACATTTGAAAACAAATGAATGCCTTTATAAACATATTTATATATTAAAATATATTTATTTGTATTTAGTAGGTATAAATATATACATATTTCGTATAGAAATATATTGTATACATATAAATATAAAAATATCTATTTATAAGGTTTATATTGTATAAAATACATAATTATATGTATTTATACATATTACTAAGTATAAATATGTATTAAATATTTATTGTATGGATGTAAAATTCAATACAGACCAATCATTTTTAAAACATAGATAAGGGTAAAATTGTAATCTTACCTATTAATCAATTTTAATAATTAAATAAATATTTAATTAATCCCTTTAATCTAGGAAATATAGTTTAGTGATTTAAAACCCTAAATGTTCTTCTTACGCCTGACATCCACCACCGATCCTCATCTTAATTTGTTCGTTCTTGTTATGTCTTCTTTTTCCTTCCCCATCGGACAATCAAAGCCGCTAACTCCATTCCATATCCGGCTGATGCTCATCGGCCATCCAATCACCGGTTGCTGGTTGCTGACCACCACCATCAGACGATATGCTTTTCCCAATCGTCGGGATGATCGTGTCGAAGAAGAGAGGGTGTCGGATTTCGGCTACTCCATCGACGATGATGACATCGCAACCTAGGAGGGAATGTTTTCAAACGGGCCATTACAACCTCTATTCAGGTTGTTTACTTCCATCACTTCAATTCAAACTATTGCAATTGAACTTCATCTTTCTGATTTCCGTTTATGGTTTAGGTGCGATTCTTCTCCCTTCTCAGAGGTATGCTTTTATCTCGCTTATACCCGATTCTTCTCGTTCCTCTTTCCGATTTGGTATCATTTACTACGTTGTTCCTAATTCCATTTTTTTATATGGTTGATTGTTTATTTGTGTTGTCGTATGTTAATTCATCATAAAAACAAAGGCAAGAACGAGTTTTTTTTGTTGCATAAAAACGTTATTTTTATTCATGAGTAGGAGGTTCTAATTGTGCTCATGGTAAGCATGTATGTCACTAAAATGCATCTGATTTTGTAGTTTTATGCTAATTGTTATATTTTGTGTGTTGAAGATTTGAATTCAGATTTTGGTTAAACTATATTTGGGTTAGGCCATTAAAGAAACAAGATAAGGAGATGTCTTTTACTTTTGAGGTCAAGGTTCTTGAATTTCACAGCTTATTTAAATATTTTAGTATGTTTAATGATGTATGATTATAGTTAATAAGTTTTTTCCTCAATAGTTGTGAGTTATT